CACTGTTATCCTTCTTTAATTTAAAATCGTAGTATTTAGGAATAATAATTAACTGTACTAATTTAAATAATTAAAAAAAACTACACTTTTTAAATAATTTTGAAATACTTATGACAAAAAACTGTAGCAAAAAAATTATTTTAGCTAATATAAACATTAACTTACTTCACCGTGTCTATTTTCCGACACTACACCTTTTAAAACTATTTGTCTAATTTTGAATTATTGCAACACTGAAGTTTATTAATAGGTACTTTAGAGAAGGTACGATTATACAAACACCACTAGATTAAAGATTACCAATCGTAAATACAATAAATGCTTCTTAAAATTAAGTTATTATTTAATTTACTTTGCTTATACAACCCTGACGCTTGAGCTGCGAGGTAGATCAATTCTGAACACAAAAAATTTGCGCTCTTGTGAGCGTAGTAGTAAGGTGCGATTTCAAATGCACCATGTGCGTTGGATATTTTGCATTATTATTGTTACCGTTAAAATGTCGGCATCTGATCCTACACAAAGGAGTGCAATTTCTGTTGCTACTATTATGTATTCTGTGATACTACTTAAGATTGATTAGTTCGTATCAGCCAATTAAAGTTTAGTGAAACTAATACTATCACCCAAATACCCAAGACAAGAATAAAATTATGTAAATCTAGCAATGATGTAAATAAATCCTTTGGCTCCACAATAAGGATCCGACGGGTAAAATATTTATTGTTCTGACAATCGCATCTGCGCTACGTAGGCTTTCTATCCTAAGTACACCTTGCTTGATGACAGATGTATGTTAGGTGTCCAATGTTCTACGTTCAAGTATGTACTATATTAGGTAGGTATGTTGTTTATCTAAGTATTAAAATTGCCTATGCTACATTTAATACTTTTTGAATCGGGAAATAAGCCACCACCGTACCGTATATAATCGCTATTTTTGGAGGGGTATACTCGGATACTCGTCATGTTTTTGCCAATTTGGAAGGGCCATCACACAAACTCTTCGACGCACCGTAATTTTGTTATGTGGACATTAGGGGTCATAAAGGCTTGTAGCTATCTACACCCGCCTGATAGCAGAAGATGGGGTTAGTTTTAGTGCAGGCACAGTGCAGGGTTCTCAAGTTTATAAACGTTGTTAGTAGCAATTAATAACAATGACGTCATGCAACTGGAGCTAGTCGTTAATTATTTTCTAAGATGAAAAGATGTAATGAAATAAAGAAGATGAGTAAGTAGACTTGAACAAATAAAAATGTTATTCATCCGCGTTTTTCTCGACAGATTCGCTTTGTATTCTACACTTTATTGGCTTCGATCGGAGTGTTTTATTCTTTATTGCTTCAATCACAATAGTCCTCAGGTTGGTTTTACTATTTCTGTAAAGTAACAGCCCTTTTAGTGTTTCGGACATCGGTGTATTGTTGTTTATGGTATGTAGTTATGTACATACGAGTTCCGAGTGCTATTACCGGGTCGGCCATTTCGAGGTAATCAATCCCTTTGATGTTCTACACGGGCGAAGGGTTTTCGGAATTTTCTACAAAATTAATAGTATCAATCCAAATGTAAATGAAGTCGAGCAAATGTAAATTAAGATGTAAACTATGATTTGTTTTAGTGTAAAATAGAGATGTAATTTACTGTATTTGATGTTGGAAGTTAGTTTTTAAATTAAAAAATTATTTCTGACTTGCAATGACAGGCTTAATGCTTCAGCAGGTCGAAATTACTTGTTTAGTCTACTAGGAGCACTTGCTCCAAGCAAGACCACTTGGTCTTGCTTCTAAGAATTTCGTTTTCGAGCCAACAATGTGTTAAACTTATCCCGTGTCTTTTTATATTTATTAGGTGGGGTGACACCCTAATATTGTCTATGGGTCACACACACCCACAGTTATTAATCCACGATAGCCGCCTATCATGATTATATCGGACAATACAAAAAAAATCAAAACACCTACACGTATCCCGCCTGGGAATTGAACCCAGACAGAATCGCTCTAACTCGTAAATCACTGGACTACAAGGGACACACGACAGGTGTCTGTCATCGGGGTTACCTACGCCATATCGAATGACAAATGATCGAAAATCAAAATATCGAATACGTTTCATCGAACGATCAAAATATCGAACGATCAAAATATCGAATGCTCAAAATATCGAACGTTCAGAATATCGAACCATCAAAATATCGAACGATCAAAATATCGAACGATCAAAATATCGAAAGTCGATATAGACGTTTTATTAAATTTCATCATGCATCATTTCTTCAAGTTTATAAATTTTGAGAAATAATGTCCGTGGGGACCTATTATAAGCCTAGCCTGTCCCAAAAAGGAAAGTTCAGAAATGATGCGTGATGAAATTTAATAAAAACGTTTATATCGACTTTCGATATTTTGATCGTTCGATATTTTGATCGTTCGATATTCTGATGGTTCGATATTCTGAACGTTCGATATTTTGAGCATTCGATATTTTGATCGTTCGATATTTTGATCGTTCGATGAAACGTATTCGATATTTTGATTTTCGATCATTTGTCATTCGATATGGCGTAGGTAACCCCTGTCATCGTGCCGCTCATTATAAAATGCATGTTTATTTTATATTCAAAAAAACATAATATTAAGAGGCAGGTAGCAACATTAACGTGGGCTCCAATGGCGGGCGGCCGAAAATGGCAAACTGCAAAAACGCGACTCGTGCGCAGCTGCCTGCGACGAAATAGGGAGAACGGAGGAATGTTGATTAAAATCCACAATCTTATTTCGCAAAATTTCAAAAATACAAGTAATTTTTCTTGTGTAAACTCAAATATTTGCCATTGTTTGAGATTGCGTCTGTCATAGTTTAGAAAATAGTAATGGAAAATGTCAAAAGTCATAGGTTCTGAAATTGTGTAGCTAGATGGCGATGTGCTTCGTTAAATCGCGATATCATTTGATTTTTTCCTGACTATTTAAGTTAAAACTTTAAGGTTCAATATACTTCACTTTACTTGGATCAGTGTTTTATTTTACAACCACGGTCCGAGCTTTTTGGGACACTGTACATTGTTGTGGTCCTTCGAGCCGGATATAAGGGCTACGTGGAGGTTTGTACAGCTGGCCACTCTCTCGTCACACCGACCAAGCGGTGGACTGTCGCTTATGGTGTGCTCTGCGGAAGCGGAAAGCGGATGCTGCTGTGATGACGTCAGCGCAAAGCAGTTGGATTAGATTTTCCACCAGACGGCGCTAAAAGCAGTGCCACCCGAGGATCCTCCAGATGGCGCTAAAAGCAGTGCCATAGACAAAGATTCTCCAGAGGGCGCTAAAAGCGGTGCGAGTTTAAGGAGTTCACGAGGAGCAGCCAGATGGCGGTAAAAGCAGTGCAAATCGGAAAAGTCGTGAGTCAGTGATCAGGGACAAAATCAAAATTGACAGTTTGGACTTTGAATTTATTATGTACACTCGCGAGCAAAAGTATGGAATCACTTACATGAAGTTGTTTCCACGCGATCTTGTGTACTAACCAATTTGTTAGTAACAAAAAAGTAGCACCATGTTAAAGATTAAACTTTTAACTTTAAATTGATACCAAATTCATTTAAATCACACCGGTATTTAAAAAGATATCCCGGCTGATGTGAAGAAGTAAGAAAAAAGACATGTACCAACTGTTTGATACGTCGCGAGTTGCGGCCTATTTACCCCCTATAAAAGCACGTGTTTTCGGATTTTTGCGTTCACACGTTGATCCATACACATCTCGGCTTCTTTTGACACTTTACCTGGGATTCTACACCTACAGAAGCAGCACAAATCGTTGCACTGTTGCAAGAAGGGCTCAGCCAGCGGGCTGTCGCACGTCAGCTCCACATAAGCCAGTCCTGAGTTTCGAAAGTTTTAAGACGCTTTTGGGAGACTGGTGGCTTTATCCCGAGACCAAGTTCTGAACAGCGCCGGTGCACATCGCAGAGGGATGACCGTTTTTTCATGTCAACCTCTCTATGAAATCGTCATTTGACTGGCATCGACGTCCAGCAAGAGCTCAGAAATGTTCGTAGGATAGCTGTTAGCGAGTGGACAGTTCGTCTAAGATATGAGCAATTAAATTTGACTCCAAAAAGGCCTGCCACAGGCTGAAAACTGACGGCAGGTCACCGACAAGCACGCTTTCAATCAGCTCGCACTCGGAATGCGAGTAATGGAGGCGAGTTTTGTTTTCTCCCGAAAGCGTCTTAAAACTTTCGAAACCCAGGACTGGCTTATGTGGAGCTGACGTGCGACAGCCCGCTGGCTGAGCCCTTCTTGCAATAGTGCAACGATTTGTGCTGCTTCTGAAGGTGTAGAATCCCAGGTAAAGTGTCAAAAGAAGCGGAGATGTGTATGGATCAACGTGTGAAAGCAAAAATCCGAAAACACTTGCTTTTATGGGGGGTAAATAGGCCGCAACTCGCGACGTATCAAACAGTTGGTACATGTCTTTTTCCTTACTTCTTCACATCAGCCGGGATATCTTTTTAAATACTGGTGTGATTTAAATGAATTTGGTATCAATTTAAAGTTAAAAGTTTAATCTTTAAAATGGTGCTACTTTTTTTGTTACTAACAAATTGGTTAGTACACAAGATCGCGTGGAAACAACTTCATGTAAGTGATTCCATACTTTTGCTCGCAAGTGTAGTTAGCAGTTGTCAAACACTTGTAATTTATTTAGTTTCGTAGCTAGGACTTAGAATAATCGGCGAAAAAGTGAACAGACGGGGAATCTATGCCCGATTTTTATAAGTTCTATTTTTTCAAACACTTAGAAAATTTTGCATCTCGGGACTTAGAATTTTTTTGCTATTCGGATTTAGTATTTTCAAAGTTGTGTTAATGATTTGTTAATTAACTGTGCGGAATTAACTTTAATTTAATTGCGATATTAATTTATGTAGGTAATTAACTGTTCACATAATTTTTCCATGCCTAGTGATTTAGAAAGTCTTTTCTCTCAATGGATCACTCCTCAGAGGTCAATATGGAAGTCTTAGTTAAGTTACAGGAGGATGTGAGAGTTTCGATTAGCAAGGGTCATGTAAACTTTAAAAAGTCCCCTAAATCCAGAATTTCCCAAGCTTACATTGAGACACGGCTGGAAACATTAGAGGAACAATGGAGGTTGTTTACTGATACGCACCGAACTATTATTTCAGATATTGAGACTGACGAGTACAGGAGCTCTAGCTATTTCACAGATGATGTTTTTGAATCCACACACGAGCTCTACTGCGATTATAAGACCAACTTAAAAGAGAGCTTGAGTGAAGTTGTTGCTGTAACCTCGAGCAGTAAGTCTCCCATCCCGCAGTTCGGTACGTCTGTTAGTATGCCACAGGTTAAGCTACCCAAAATTAGTATTCCCACCTTCAGTGGAAAGTACACTGAGTGGACCACTTTTAAAGATCTATTTGAGTCCCTGGTCCATAGGAATGATAGTCTGGAAAATGTTCACAAGTTGCATTATCTTAAAGCCCACTTAACAGGAGAGGCAGAGCAGCTTTTGCGTCACATCCCTGTTACCGATGTAAACTATACTGAGTCTTGGTCTCTGTTGAACAAAAGGTTTAGCAATAAAAAGTATTTAGCCAACTGTTTATTAAAGCGCTTGATTAGCCAGACAAATGTTAGTTTCGAATCATCTGAGCTAATTAAATCTTTACTAGATACAACTTGCGATTGCCTAAACGGGTTGAAGAATTTGGGTTTAGAAACAGATTCATGGGATGTTATCGTAATTTATTTGATTAGCGCAAAATTAGATCCAGAATCTCGCAAGTTGTGGGAGGCAGAAATAAGCACCACTGACGACCATCCTACTATGAGCCAATTTAAGAACTTTTTAGAACATAGGTTCCGGTCACTTGAGTTTTTGCCTTCTCGATCAGTAAAGCCAAATGTAGTCCGCAATAACATTGCTGTTCATCACGTCACTGAAATATCGTGTCCATTTTGTTCAGAGAGTCATAGGTTATACAATTGCAAGAATTTTGCAAAAGAACAGGTGGACGCACGACGTAGTTTTGTTCGGTCCAACGGATTATGTTATAATTGTATGTGTTCTGGTCACTCCGTATTTGCTTGCCGTCAAACTTCCAGGTGCCGAGTTTGTAAAAGGAAGCATCATTCTCTTTTGCATGTCAGTAGTCCCAAATCAACTGATCAAAATGTTGAGAGCTCATCAGTTGATAATAGTGAAGTCATTGTAGCCACTTCGTTGCCTAGTAACTCCAGTGTTCATAGTGAAGTCCTTCTGGCCACTGCACTTGTTAGGGTAGAATCGCAGTCCGGAAATATGCTAACTTTTAGATCTCTGTTGGACCAAGGTTCTCAGGCTTCATTTATCTCGGAGTCAGCAGCACGATTACTAGGTTTAAAACGAGTTGCATGTAACGTAAATGTGTCAGGTGTAGGTGATAGAGTTCCATCTGTTGTTTCGAAATCATTGGTAAGCTTTAAGCTCCAATCGACTCTTGATCCCACTTTTGTCATTCCTGTTAAAGCTTACGTGTTAAAGAAACTGACATCAGTCATCCCAAAGCGGAAGGTTAATATTCAACTGAGTCAGAGCTTGACACAACTCAAATTAGCAGATCCCAAATTTCACACTCCTCATAAAATTGATTTGATTCTAGGAGCCGACATTTACAGCCAGATTTTAGTTGAAGGAATAATCAAGGGTTCTCCAGGCTCTCCTCTAGCGCAGAACACAAGGCTTGGATGGATCCTATCTGGCCAGGTTCATTCAGAACCTGTAGACGGTTCGCCGTTATGTCATAGTAGCAGAATCATCAGTTCGCACGCCCACAACGACAAGTGAGCCGTTGTTGAGGAATGGTCCCTCTTGGTTGACAAAAGAGCTATCGAATACAGTCCACTAGGTTGTAACCAAGATACCAATTTAGTCAGGTGTAGGTGATAGAGTTCCATCTGTTGTTTCGAAATCATTGGTAAGCTTTAAGCTCCAATCGACTCTTGATCCCACTTTTGTCATTCCTGTTAAAGCTTACGTGTTAAAGAAACTGACATCAGTCATCCCAAAGCGGAAGGTTAATATTCAACTGAGTCAGAGCTTGACACAACTCAAATTAGCAGATCCCAAATTTCACACTCCTCATAAAATTGATTTGATTCTAGGAGCCGACATTTACAGCCAGATTTTAGTTGAAGGAATTATCAAGGGTTCTCCAGGCTCTCCTCTAGCGCAGAACACAAGGCTTGGATGGATCCTATCTGGCCAGGTTCATTCAGAACCTGTAGACGGTTCGCCGTTATGTCATAGTAGCAGAATCATCAGTTCGCACGCCCACAACGACAAGTGAGCCGTTGTTGAGGAATGGTCCCTCTTGGTTGACAAAAGAGCTATCGAATACAGTCCACTAGGTTGTAACCAAGATACCAATTTAGGAAAAACTTAGCTCAGTTTCTACAGCCACCACAGATAGGTCTTCACAGGCACCCAAAATAGGTAACGTAGGGCTAGTGAAAGAGAATGATCTTCCCCGGCTCGTTGGCTTTATGACATCTTTGTTGACAAGCTTCCCGTCACTGACAATAATTACTCGTGTTGTTCGTTGGCTAACGTGTTATGCAAAAGCTCTACCATAAAATGACCTGTTTCGAAATTGTGTCTTACCTGTGGCAGCCTAATTGAGTCTCGTTTATTATTGTAGGGTTTGAATATTAGGATTTGTTGAAGTCATAAGCAACTGTACTCGCACAAGTCTCACATAGCATATATTAGATGTGTTATGTTTTAAGTATTGAAGTGTCAACTATGTTTTGTTTCTTAAGTTGTTTTAATTGTTTTGATATTTTATACAAGTCAATGTCATTACTTATATCGTACCAGTCCAATCAGGTATCAAGTACACTACTTTATAACTTAACTAATAACTAAGTTATAGGTATTTTGTCGAAGTCTCATGTACGCGATACTGATGTTAATGATGAACACCGCACGGTGTTCATGGTGGGCGGTTATGTTTGAGATTGCGTCTGTCATAGTTTAGAAAATAGTAATGGAAAATGTCAAAAGTCATAGGTTCTGAAATTGTGTAGCTAGATGGCGATGTGCTTCGTTAAATCGCGATATCATTTGATTTTTTCCTGACTATTTAAGTTAAAACTTTAAGGTTCAATATACTTCACTTTACTTGGATCAGTGTTTTATTTTACAACCACGGTCCGAGCTTTTTGGGACACTGTACAGCCATGGTTTTTATTCCAAGATATTTTGGGTTTAAGTACGAAAAAAAGTTTATCTTCCTGATTAATTACAATACTTTTTTTTTAGTTGACTAAAAATATCTATATTAAACTGGTCTGACTAGCTTTTTGCCATTAAACTCATTATTGAAGTATACACCATCATGATTATTAGTTTCATTTACATACATGGAATAGCAAATGAGTTCCATTTGTATGTTTTTTATTACTCTATTAAAAAATCTACGCGTCAAAGACCTCAACGTCCAAATTACGTTTCTCACATTTGTTTGATGATGAATAGCCTTAAATTACCGTGGAATTACTAAATGCTTTCAAGCGATGTTCCATCAACTTCAGATGCGATGGGATTATTGTTATTTAAAGAGGGAAAGAGATGGAGTCTGGTTAAAAAATGGTCTCGTGGACACCTGTTCACGTTAGAGCCCGTTTCGGAACATCTGGCCCGTTATTTTTATCCTGATATGCAACCTATACGCAATTTGGGCTGCAAAATTTTTGTTTTTAAAGCTCGAATTCCATAATTTGCTATCATCATAACGTTATTTCAAGGATTAAGTATTACCAATAACTTGTGATTCTTTGATGGTGTACAACTAACAAACTTTGNTCTGAATAATTTTGAACTTTACTGACGAACAGTTAAAGATTATTTTCTCTAACTCGAGATTATTCTGTAACATAGTTTCAAAAGGTAATATGTGCTCGCGATTCGTTGAAGGAATCAATTTGAAAACTGACGAACCTTTTCATTCCGTGACTGTACATAACATGCAAAAAAATTATAACAACCCTACTATTAAAACTAGATTATGAAGCTACAGAGAAATTATTGAAAAAATATGAGGCATATTACTGACTATATATTTTATATTATCTACATTATATAAAACTTTATTAATTATTCTATGTACGCTATGATTTAAAATGGCGATTTTGTAGGTAGGTATATTATTACGTTATCATATTATTAAGTATTAAAATATCATACTAAAAAAAAGTATTTTACTTTGGCGTACTCAAATATAATAAATCATATGCATTTATTTCGTCTTACAAATATTTAATTAGATAAAAATACTATACATAGACCCTAAATTATATTATCATTATATCCTTTTGCTCATAAACTGCATCATTTGGTTGACACAATATTTTATTTTATCACAATAACTAATATAATTTGTTTATAAATATTACACATTCGAGTAAACCTAGCGAATGTGTACTGTCTGTTTTGATTGTGTTATGTGGCTATCATGGACGACGTGCTGTCACTACTCTGCCGCAACACAGTTTTATTACTAGCGCGGATGGTAGTTGTCAATCTCGCCTACCAATGTACTACATAAATTTTTAACATGTACCTTATTTAACATCACGATTGTGTTTTGGACAAATAAAGTTATTATTATTATTTTTATTTTTAAGATTATATCTTTCTCCACCTTAAAGATGGGTNTTATTAACTACTATCACCTTTAGTATTTGTATGATACGCGTGATACAGCGAAACGCTATCTTACCCAAGCGGTTCTGCAGAGTGCACCCTGCATCGGAACTGCAATCAACGTGACCATTTACAATTAATAAATGGGGTATAATGTATTACAAAACGCAACGCGGTATGATAACGGGGACGTATTGTGGCGCAATAATTCATTATCGTAATTGCGGTAGCGTGTAGACGCAGACGTCTTTTTATTTTCTGAAGAAACTCAATTAACAGCAGTTACAGAGGCCCCTATCAATATGCCCGATTTTTTAACGCTTCCACTTAATGGCTAGGCAATTAAAAGTGGTCTGTTGAGTCCGTAATATTAACGGATATGTTCAAGCAATAACATCTGACATTTGATGAGGAAAGAATTAGAAACAAACAGTTTGGTATTAGAGCAATCAGAAAGTATGTAATTGCTGAAAAACTTTGACAAATTACTGTATAATCACGGCCGTTTTTTATGCGAACTTATAACTTACTAGACAGTTAAATAGTCAGTTTTACGTGTGGCGAGCTAATAACACTCGATCACTTAGTGTGTAAGGGGTTAAAAATAAGTGGTAATAGAAATGAAGACATTACAGATAAAGTATGTACCTACTTGGACAGCGAATGTCTCTTATTAACCTCCTCATGAGCCTCGTAAAGACTACAATGCAGTGTGACGGGCGCTTGCACGTCGTGATAGCAAGGGCAAATGCCTCGGGAAGGGTCACAGTCGTGTCCACTCTCCGTCGCATGCCCATTACTGTATCTCCTGATAAACTACGCCACTTTAAACCCTACCTCCTAGGGCATAAGACATCACTACCAGCTGGATCAGTGATTTTATCTACACTGACAACCATTTTGTAGCCGATGCCTTTACATCGGGCCCTTACAAGCCATTATGAAAATGCGTAGACCTTCGAGCGACGTATAACTGTGTGGTCTTATTGTTATTCTGAGGCGGTTTTCACTAACCTTAAAGGTTAAACTTTTACTTAGATTTTTCTGGTTATGATAGGTTTAAGCACCAGCAAGATGTAGGTACAACGGTTAGCGTTGTAGCACGGCCATATTTAGCGAGCACACCTAGATATTTTTAGTCATAACAAGCTATGTGCACATCATGTGTGTGGTCATGATAAAGGTACCTAAAAAGATCATAGTTAATAAGGAAACACCTGAGAGTTGAGTCCTACTTCCTCTTTACACTCTTTAGATTGTTAGTCAATCAATGGTACGGCGATGTATTAACGCAACACCACCCAATGACAACACACCGTTTGCCGTTAGTCAGCGACGCAACTCTTTCTCAGAACTACGGACCTGTATTTTGACGCATTCACACATAATAAACAAAAATGTGACCTACATTCGTGATCCTGCTACAGCCAATGACGTCAGAATCCGGATCGCCGTTTTTCTCTTAACTGCCGAGCCTCCACCAATGAATCTATTAAGTGCTAATCTACTGTAACCTTACCTGCTGGGATGGCCTAACCCGATTACAGGAATTGTTTGCGTGAAGGTAGAATTTCTTTGTTCTAATTATAGCACTTTACTGAGTTAATCCGTTTATCCATTTTTTCGTAGCAGTCAGGCGAAAGGGGAAATTTTCTATGACAAGACTTGCGGTTTTTGGTTAAAGTGCTTGGCAGGCTTAATCCGACTGTTTATGACGTAAAAGCGAGCCTTGATCTTGATCGGTCAATATTTGGCTGAAGGCAGATAAGAGGGATTCCACCGAGGTCAAGCATTTTCGTCATGACTCACGATAATGACAAAACGATCTCGAGCGTAATCTTGAATCAGGTTACTGGTTTGTGAGTGACTCACAACCTTTTTTTCTTTCTTTTATTCTATCCCAGAATTTTGTTTTACATACTAACGATCGGGGAGGGCGAGTTTACTGCATGGGGGTTCGTGATTCATGGGGTAGGAATCCGGTAAGCGTAACAGAACAGCTGACCGTTTTAGGTTTTTTGTTTTGAAACGGTATTACTGCCGATTCCAAAAGACAATGTTGCGGTTGGCTTTTATTGTATCGGGAATCGATAAATATTGGTGGACCAACATAATATTGTGTTCTTTTGTTAGGTAGGTCTATGTTTCGCCTATTATCTGGATCATAAAGCTTAGGCGCCACCAGAGTTACAGCTCACACGAATAAGAAGATCGATGTGGTTAGAAAAACAATCTATCTTTTTAATTCTTTACGCGTAGAAAACTAAGGTCATAGGCTAATAAGAATAGTCTGCATGTTTTTAATTATTGGAAAAATAATATTAGATCGGATTCGTAACAAATACTTGAAACATAAGTTGTTGGTTGTAAAAATGGACAATCGGAATTTAACGTTATCTAAGCACCACCATGGATGCGAAAGCCTACAGCTATGGCAGATTGGTTTTGTCGGCAGTGAACTGTCTGATTAGGTAATAAGAATAAAGGCTAATCAATTGATTAGTTTTTGTCGGAAGATGAGAGAGGTAGAACTGATATTATTCAGATAATTGGATTATCTATGAATAGACTATTAAGTTAAAGTAAAATTAACAGATCACAGCATAATTTAAAGTTTTCTTATTTTGAAACAGTACGGTATTCTTTCTTTCACGCATTTTTTTTTCTTTCTCTTTATTTGTTTGCATCGTAGGTAATTTATCAATACCTCTTACAATCGACGATGGTTAGCTGACAAGAATAAAAATTTGCAAGGTAGGGTATTCGGTGGAAGTAGGACCATCAGCGTAAATGCCAACGTTTTTAATTAATAATACTGCCAAAAAGTATTTCCCCACTGGTAATAAAAAACGTGCAGCTATCCGTCGTCCTGCGACCCTCGCAATATTTCGCTCGTGCGCCATGGGGCGGGCGTGCGCCGGACTGGGGAAAACAAGCCCAGTACACGATCCCAGCAAAACGACACAAAATAGAACGGTCCAAAAACATCAGTAACCATTACTTTCATTCATACATACCCTCAAAAACAATGAAATTTGCTGCTTGTTGTATCGATCACATGTGTACACAAATCATCAGTAAATGAAAAAATATGATTAATGTAATAAAAAAGCACAAATTTACAGAAAAAGTATTTCTGCACCACAACACAGTTAGTATACACACAGGTTCACCAAAAATAATGAGTTCATAGAATGAGAAATAAGTCAAAAAAGATTTTTTTTGTTAAAGAAACAACATCCACCCTTCCAAAGCACAGTGGTACTGAATAAATGAATGAATGACAAGAAGAACGATGTATTGAATGAATGTGATTGGGAGGGAGTATTCGTTCATTCGTATAACCCACAGATATCTGTGGTATAACCCCTGAGCCCCGATTACGGTAACTTTTAACGTCAACAATCCAGACACGCTTCTCGATTCTGCGATACGATTGGTCAAAACAGCTGACGTACGCTGTTGAACGACCAATCGTATCGCAGAATCGAGAAGCGTGTCTGGATTGTTGACGTTAAAAGTTACCGTAATCGGGGCTCTGTTCAATGGTTTCGAAACTGCTAGCGCCATCTAGTAGAATGAAGTTAAAACAATGTTCCCGCACTCTTAAGACGAATTATGTAGTTTCAGTTGTAGCTTATAGATGTCACTTTAAGCTAAAAATAATTTCTATGTTGTAATGAAAAAATATTGATTATACTTAATTAAAACTGATAATACAAATGACAATTATTATTTCTGTATTCTCTAACATCAAAATTATCACTTCACGGGATTTATTGCAACAATATCTATTTTAACGGTAAATAATATTTACCCTCCCGACGTTTCGGCTCGGTTGCACGAGTCATGGTCGCGGGCAGACAGACTCGTGCAACCGAGCCGAAACGTCGGGANACGTTTCGGCTCGGTTGCACGAGTCATGGTCGCGGGCAGACAGACTCGTGCAACCGAGCCGAAACGTCGGGAGGGTAAATATTATTTACCGTTAAAATAGATATTGTTGCAATAAATCCCGTGAAGTGATAATTCTCTAACATCGTTGATATTCAAGACATACTTTTATTTTAGATATTGTTTTAATTTTTTTAAATAGTAGATGTATCCAAACGCAAGTTCAACGTATGAACTACTATGAAGTTAGCATTTAGTGCTACTTTGGTGGCTAGCTTCACGCTCTTTCACTTCAACATGCCTGGCTGTCAACAAATGTCACTGTTCAATACGTCAAAAATGGAGGAGGACCGTCTTTTCGACGAGAGAGTTTCAATTCGAGAATCTGCTCGACCATTGAAAAAATACGGCAGCACTTGCAATCATATGAAAAGGAACGAAGAATACATTAAGCATGTCATGTCTAAAGGTGATACGCTGCAAGGAATCGCTCTGAAATATGGTGTAACTGTAAGTGCATCCGTCTCTTCACTAAAGTGTTATTATCTTGTTTATGTGCTAAATTATGGGACAAAAGTTATTTTTTGGACGTTCTATGTTTGTCGTAGATGGAGAAAATAAGGAGAGCGAATCGGCTATTTGCCACGGATAGTTTGTTTTTGAGGGAGTATCTTCTTATACCTGTGACAAAAGATTCCCCTTTCTACGAGAATGGGGAGCGAGTGACTGAGCCAGCGCCGCCCAGCCATCGAGCGTCAATCGCTGGGATGCCTACTAGAGACTTTTCGCCAGGCAGTCCAGACGAAAAGAAAAGTTTTGACGACTTTTTGAATAGGCTAGACTCATCCCTGGCAGATATAAAGAAACATGTTGAAAAGTCCAAGGAAAACAGTGAGTGAGTACCTTTTTTATCTACATAAAGCTATTTTAATATCTAAACATAATATTGAAGGATGTAACAATGTAGGCACGCATCAATTAACTGCAATGTGAACCAATAGTTATAAAAGTCTAGTGTACCGAAGGAGATATGATAAAGTAAACAGAAGTTGGGTCTGTGCTTTACTTACTATTTTGATAAAGTTGTTTGTGGAGCCTGATAAGAGTATTTGATAGTTGGTAATGTTGGGCTCCAAGTTAACGTCTACTAAATATTCCATTCATATTTGGAATTTAGCCTTAAGTAGTTGCTTACTGTTCTTTATCCTGCCACAAACCATGTGTTACCATAATGGATTTTGAACTTCATAACTTGTACTTATGATTCCAAATCATTTGAAGAAATAAATCTACAAGAATGCAATTGCTTTTAGAATTGTTAATCAGTAGCAGTCAAGGCAATAGTAATTGATTATTCCATTATAAGAAAGGGCAAATGAATCCAGTTAATTTTTTGCTCATTATCTCTTAGCTATGTAATCTTAGTAAAAGTGTTGAGCATTAGCAAATGTTGTGATTACACAACATAATTATGTAGTTGGTTTAGTTAATAAACACAAAATAGTGTTAATTGATCAGTAAATAGTTACTTATTTATTTTCTATCAGGATTGATATTAGGATTAGTAACTATTTTCATGAATGCAATTCTATCTTCTTGTGATTTTCATTAGATTAGTAACTGTTACAACAGTTATTCTAATTTAAATCAACAAATAATAACTAAACATAAAAGTAAAGATTTTCTTGCTCCATTATTACAATTATAGAGTGATACATAGCCTGCAAAACGAGTTAAGTGATTGGCACCTGTATATTAACAATGTGACAATTAACTCTACAGTAGGTTTGTTATGAATTATGTTATGAATGTTTAACCTTTAACTATGGACGTCGGGTCTCAGAGGCCCACCCCCCTTTTCAATTTCTTGGTTTCAATACCTTCCCGCCACGTGCTGCTCTCGACCATCTCAGTAGCTTCAGTTTTAACTGTGTTAGGACCGAGGAGGCATAAAATCGCGTCTTCCGGCACTTATTACGTGAGTAATAACCATTCAAAATTTTATCGGGGTCTGGGAGACCCGATGACTATAATTTCCATACAAACATACTTGTATGGATGTGACTTGTTAACTATATTTTTTTATAGTATATTATTATAATATGTTGTAAATTGTTTTAGTTTAAGAATACATAATGGTAGAAAGTATCTGAGTACATCAGCTATATTATTAGCCCTACTATCTAAGTAACATTCCAGAAGTAAGGTTTTACTTGTAGACAATCCTTCTTTTGAGTTTAGATGTCTTAGAAGGTACCATTGCTGCAGATTCCGATTCTGAATGGTGTATATTTTGCCTATCAAAGCTCTCAAAGAAAGATGACACATGCCTGTAGAGATAATTTGTCTTTAGTGTTCTAGGCCACTGTTTATATTTTTTGTAAGTTTAACCCTTGTCAAAATTTTTATTTTATGTCTTTCAGAAATTCTGTTTATGTTTTTATGTTACACGGTTATTAATAAGCAAGGAAAAAAATATTAGTTTGATTTATTATTAATCTACTGTAATTAAGGAGCCTGTATGTGATGCTAAGTCAATTAACACTGAAAAATGACTATGTTTTTTAAATTTGCCAAAAAATAATTAAATAATGATTAAAAATTGATTACATTTACTACTAGATCCTTTATTAACAGTTTTTTTTATATATATCAACTCTTTGATAAATTCAAATTGGTTCAGATATGAAATTATGAAGAATTTTAGATAGGGGTCTGTGAGACCCGACGTCCATGGGAGTGTGATTATTTTTTCACGACTATAGTTAAAGGTTAAAATTAAACATTGTAAGACTTTGTTATACTTCTATTAGTGTCATAATTTTTGATTACATTGCAATGTAAATGAATATAAGTCATTTGTGCCATTTAGGTTTATTTTTTTATCTTATGATTCTGTATTATGGACAGTAAAAACTACATTAGAGAAGTACTTAAAATTAAGTACACAATCAATACAAGAAAAAAAATCGCCATATTTTTATTTTTCATTTTTTTGCTAGTCACTACAACCCTTCCAAAGGGCCAGATACAGTTATCTACAAAAACGCATTTAAGTTTTTGCACGTCTGTAAATGGCTTAACCCAAGGCCGCTGCGCGCGCGCCGTGATTCATTCATATTATGCTTCAGCACTTTCTACGGTCACATGACAGGTCCCGCTACGCGCCATTCTCAATTTTTACATTGCGTAATTATCTGCATAGATTGAAGTTATTGTGTTTTTTAATTTACCATTACTGTTTTTTACCATGGAACAGTTTCTATTGCCTGGCTCTAAAAGCTGATGGCACACAAAATAGCTTTTATCACCCGAAGAAACACCAGCTGTAAACTGTTATTTCTTTTTAAATATTCAGGGATCCTCCCATCCATGAGCCTAAAAAAATATTTAAAATCCGCAGGTTTTTGGCTAGGACCACTGCTAGAGAGCATGTCAAACTATTTTTTGCCCAAATACGGTATCTTCTCTATTTAGAACGTCGTCGTCGTCGTCGTCTATCAGTTCAACTGTGGTAAAAGTTCCCCTCCATATTTAAATTTTACACGGATTCCTTCGTTTTCTATCGAATATAATTCTAACTTTAGGCTTGTAGTATTTCAATAAGGCTTGAAAATTTACAAAAGAGTAGGTACTAGGCGTACTCTACTCCTATAATGTATAATGCAATGTGGTTCACGCTATCGTAAACTCACTGAATCGATGGAATTTGTTTTGGTTGGTTTCTTTTATGACTAACTTTTCCCGTGACCTACCATTATTATCTGTTTGCACGGTATGTCGGCCGGTATACTGGAACTCTCTAGTGTTTATCATACTTTATAATAACACTATAGCAACTGTTATTGTAATATTATTGAATCAAAGTAGAATTTGGCTTATATCATTCGAAGAAAATTGATAGCAGGGATTTCCATTTTTAACTAATAAAGATTCAAGTCGTGTATTAATCACAAATTGCTATAAAATAAAACATGAATAGAGATAACCTACAGCTTATCTAAGTATGCAGTTGGATCTGGCATCTCCTATATTTTACGTGTTATTTAAATGACGTCGTCGGCTAGAGTTATATATTTTTATAGCTTTTCATGTATATTTAACCTTAGCAAAGGCACATAGGGCGTGTAGCGTGCGTGAGGTTCTGCTAACTGCGTCATACAATTTATAGTGCGTAGGTATAACGGAATTGAAATAAACTTAATCCAAGATTTTGTCATTAAAATATCAATTAAAATGGTGTTCGCTTTCTGTTTGTCAAGGCTTTTATGATCGCCGTGTGCCAGAGGTTTTAGCTTCGTTATCACAAACTTGTTGAGATACTGAAGTTTGCATTTCAAGGTTAGACAAGGACGGTAATAGCACGACGTTATTGATCGCGAGGATATGATTATTACGTTTTTAATATACTTTCTAGCTGCACATAGACAAGTGATAAAACTGGGGAATTGTCCATCATCTTTTAATCAACTAGACTTATATTAGAACCCGTTTAATGTAAGGACGTTTGTTCTTAGGAATTTCGGAAACGAAAAAGCCAGCTAGAGTTACTAAAAGCTATGAATAGAATTCTCGATTGCCGAAATGCTATAGGCTAGTTACTGGCTGGCTTACAGTTATCTTTTATGATGTTTCGACAGCTATCCCTCGGGATTTCTCCCAACCAAGGTTTCTTTGGAGGCCAAGCTTTAGATCCTGGCTATACAAGAGTTGCAGGGGTGAAAGTGTGGTGGGATAAGTCCGGGTAGTCTTTTAAGACCTAAGGTTTACGATACCGCATGAGTGTTCACCATTGTGTTCACTTGGTGATTGGAGATCCTATCTCCTGGACACGGAGAATAAAGATCGTATAAAATGTATAACGGAGTAACAAGGATTGTATAACGGAGTTATAACTCTGAAAGTACATACGTAAAACGAATTCGTTAGCCAGCACTTTATTTGTGTCCCTCTTTCTTACCGGGACACTGATAGAGCTATGCATGGTTAAAAGACGGTGGTGATATTCTATTATTAGAATTTTAGTTGTACCTAGTTAATAGCTGAACCTATGGAGGTTGAAGAGTCAGATAGAAGAGTAGAAATACTAGTAGTTGCTGAAACCATCTGTCTGTCATATCTTCATTGTCACGCTGTGATGCTGTGGACTGCCATTAGACAATTTAATTGGCATCTACTGCTATTTAACGCTGTACAACTGTCCGGTTGATGAATGTGCCACTGATAATGACGCACTATAATGTATAATCAGGGTCAGCGCCCTCATTACTATGTTGTATCACTTGTTATCAGCAAGCGAGGGGACTCGACGAAAACATTTGTTTAGGACGCCATTTTTTATCCAAGAAAGATCATGATCTTTTACTGCGCGGCTTGAAATAACGTTTAGCGGTCGTTTCAATTTACACTCACTTACCAATTTATTGGACTGTTTTAAAATCTTCCTACAACTTATTACAATACACAATACTTACTAAGAACAACACGGTGACCAATATTGTGTAGGTTAAGGTCCATTTCACTTTGGGAAAAAATATTTTTCATTTATTTTCCAATATAATTTTAATAAAGGCACTAAATAAATAATTTAATTGGTAAAGCCTGGTCCGTGAGCACGTAGATTTTTGTCCAATGACCCCAAGCTACCCATCCTTATCGCTCGCGCGTAATTACATATATTGCTGTCGCGACTGTGCGCAGTGAGTGTGCGAGCGCGACAGCAACATAATTACGCGCGAGCGATAAGGATGGGTAGCTTGGGGTCATTGGACAAAATTCTACGTGCTCACGGACCAGGCTTTAGACATCGTAAACGTAGTTTTAAAAAAAAAAAAAGGTGGCATGACTCTACAAGATCACTGTAAGAAATATCAAGGAAAGCTTAAATTATGAATCCTAAATGAAGTACCACATAGAATAAATATACAGGGTGTATAATATATTTTATTTATTTTATAATCAGCAAGATTTCCAAAATTTTATTTTAGATTCTCAAATACTATCAGGCAAGTCTTCACAACACTTCGAGTTGTTTATTATAACTGGAAGTATTATTTACGATTAATCGCATAAACTAACCAATCCATCAAATTCTTCCTGTTTATCCAGAGATCTAAATCCGGGAAGGCTGTTCCATGTTATATCTAAAAATATGAACGACGCTATGATGAGGTAAACATGTTTTGATTTGGATTCGTAGCGTTGTAGTTTTGCAATTCCAAACTGTTCATGAATATAGTCTGTAAGAGACAATAAAGGATACCCACATATTATTACCATATTTACTACTAGAAATAACGTAGCAATGCGAACTGCTTTCGAAGAAAACAATACAATTCATAGAGATTCAATAGAGAAGCTTATAGGGTTCATTTTATTAAATTCAATAGCTACATCCATTCCATTTCGGCAGGTCTTGTCTCTTATTCTAGAAACCAAATTGTATCGAGCTACGAATATTATTTTGTCGCTGGAAGTGGGACTCTATCTGGTTGTATTAAAGCATATCCTGTTGTTAAGGATTGTGGGAAGTAGGTCAGCGGGAGTGGTCAGCTGTTGGCCAGCCATCCTGTAGTGCGGCTAAAAATATTCCATTGAGTAAACTCGCTTGTTTAATCCTTGTACTGTTCCTTCAGTTATATTTCGCGCCAATGTAAATGACAATTGTGTACATTATGATAGAAATTCACTGATACAGATACTAAATTGTCTCGTGAACTCAATATTATTTCACTTTGAAATCTTAGTAAATACTTACTCATATTACTGAGTCCAAAGAAAGTACGGTTTGAATGTTAGCCGGCTATATTAGCTTACAAGATTTGCCAAAGACGGCAGGAACTGTGTATATTATAAAGGCACAGTCAATTATTATAAGTTTCATGGAACGCAATAACCTCATTCACGATTCTCGCAAATCGATATTTTTTATCGTCAAACTATAATGTTTCGGAACCAAAATTTTTTCCGTTATCATGCTATATTCGACAACTATCAGAGTGTTTCATTTTGAAAGTTTGTTGATATTTTATGTACTTTGCTCGTCTCCAACACGAATGTTCACTGAAGTCTAAAAACTAATTTTCAAAAAACATTCGCAATTAAATGATATGAATATGTGTACGCGATAAGGGTTATTCGTATCATTGTGTCCCAATTAAATGTCGCATATTGTCCAGGGAAAATTCTGTTGTACAAAAACCTAACCTAACTAAATCTTTATGTCCCTACTTCATTTTATCTCAGTGAAAGAACAACTCTTAAAATAGGCGTCTAGACGAAATAATGTAAACAAAGAGCGATACCTTCGTCAGTTTTGCGACTAATTAAGTACACAACTAATAATTTAGTAATTATTGTAGAGAATTCACGCTTCAACCGAGTTGTTAATGATAATTGCTTGAGCAGAAGTAGTAAACATAATATTAACTTATACGTCACAACACGCCTCTGTGGACCAGCTCTAGACTGTAGATTCTGTATAGTCCTGTTGAGACATACAAAAGAAATGGGTCATGATGTCATAATTCAGAATAAGAATTATGCAGATATGATTCAAAGTTTTATAGATGGTAAATCGATAGATTCTGGTTAAACTACAGTTACCCTCAGACCAACACCATCAGAAGCCAGAAGTAGCTTGCTATTTCAAATTTTCAGCACTAACTATTTGGTAGGAAGTAGGAACTGTCTAATTGACTCTATGACACAACCGCCAGCGTTTTCGTAATGAGTCTCGTCACAGATCTCGTGACTGCTCGAGATTAAGAACAGTCACGTGCTTTTAAATTAATAGATTGTAATTGATATATGTATCTCTACTTTGCAGTCGTTATAAAGCTTTCCTATTGCAACAAGCTGCTTAGTGGTCATTTAGTAGCCGATTCAAAAATTAAGGAAATTATTATAATCGTTTTTTTCTCTGTTTCATGGTTTACTTATTGTAATGATGTCAGTTATTTAGTCACAAGTATTGATTACCTAGTGTTTCTAATGATACTTTTGTAACAATAGACACATCTTACTCCCTCGGGCATTCACCTACCTTTTTGTTGTTTTGTTAATGATAAAAGTTAATAATGAGTTTTAACTATCGTTATCGTGCATGCAATATTATTTGTACTTGTTTTCCAAAAATAATTGCCTATGTTATCTATTGTTAATAGCAGTATACTAGAATGATTCACATAGAGTTTACAGAAGACGGTAATAATAGGCCCACCATTAAGGTTTCATACAAAAACTTTAGTAGTTATTGTATACGCAGGACATGACATATTCCATGCATCTAAATGAAGTGAGTCACCAAGCAGTGCTCTACAAAATACGGAATATCTAGGACAGGCTAGATCTATACAAGAAATCCAGTCTCAGCTCTCAATATCTAAACAAAATAGATGTAGATTCTGATCCAACACATCTAAGTAAAGGTCTCTATTCTCGAATTGTCTTGGTCGCTTGTCTCTGACCAAGTTCTAGATTCAAACCATAGATTCTGATCCAACAGATCTAGATTTTGATCCTCTGTGGCACTAATACGACAATACTCTCATTCCAGATTCGTGAAAGAAATCGACGAGGGCTTCGTGAGACACCGCCCGACCGCCCGCTTGCGGCAGTCAGCGTCCATGGGCGCGTCCACGTCTTACAACGAGGTGATCCCGCCGCCGCTGCCGCCACCGACCGCCACCCTGACCCAGGGTCGCCGGGTCGACTCCTCGCTGAAGCGTCTGGAGAGAGCGCACGACGACCTGTTCCAGTTGTAGCGGTCGAGGCAGCGCAGGTGTGTTAACCATCTGATCCGTAAGCAATCATCTGGTCGGTCAGCTAGACTTGTCAGCGTCGGGCGCAAGACGACCTGTTCCAGTTGTAGCGGTCGAGGCAGCGCAGGTGTGTTAACCATCTGATCCGTAAGCAATCATCTGGTCGGTCAGCTAGACTTGTCAGCGTCGGGCGCAAGACGACCTGTTCCAGTTGTAGCGGTCGAGGCAGCGCAGGTGTGTTCAGTGATCAATCCGTCATCGTCAGGTCATCTAGACTTGAGGCAGTCAGCGTCAATGGGCGCGTCCACTTCGTACAACGAGGTGTTCCCGCCGCCGCTGCCGCCGCCGACCGCCACCCTGACCCAGGGTCGCCGGGTCGACTCCTCGCTGAAGCGCCTGGAGCGGGCGCACGACGACCTGTTCCAGTTGTAGCGGTCGAGGCAGCGCAGGTACGTTCTGTGACCTGCTCCGTCATCATCAGGTCATCTAGACTTAAGGCAGTCAGCGTCCATGGCGCGTCTTCTTCGTACAACGAGGTGATCCCGCCGCCGCTGCCGCCGCCGACCGCCACCCTGACCCAGGGTCGCCGGGTCGACTCCTCGCTGAAGCGCCTGGAGCGGGCGCACGACGACCTGTTCCAGTTGTAGCGGTCGAGGCAGCGCAGGTGTGTTACCATCTGATCCGTAAGCAATCATCTGGTCGGTCAGCTAGACTTGTCAGCGTCGGGCGCAAGACGATCTGTTCCAGTTGCAGCGGTCGAGGCAGCGCAGGTGTGTTCTGTGGCCAGCTCCGTCATCATCAGGTCATCTAGACTTAAGGCAGTCAGCGTCCCGCCGCCGCTGCCGCTGAGAGTCTCAGCATAGTGCTGATTGACAGTCTCAGCTTGAGACTGACCTGGGTTAGACTGTAGACAAACTGAAGCTAAACTTGCTGAAACGCCTAGGACATGTGCACCTGGTGGCTAGGGCAACACATGTACTTTACTTAGGACCTACCAGGACTAGTCAGGGTGGTAATTAAATAGCTACGCAAATATCCACACCTGATTAGCTGTAACCACATTGACACCTCGCTGAGATGCTTGAAAAGAATATACGACATTGTTTTTACGGCTTTGTTTGTAAGATTTCCAGTTTTCATTGGCGCGGTAGACCGTTTAGACTGCTATGATTGTACTAATCAAGTTATGTCTCATGTTCCAGGTATGCGCGGTTCCAATGAACGTGACGCCTGCGGCTGAGATGTCCAGCATCTGTATTACGTAAGGCGATTGCCCCCAGACGCCATGAAGTCGCTATCATCGTGATAGCAACTACGGCTGTCAGGACTCAGCGATCGCCATCCGTAATAGCACCGCGTACGGTGAGCGCGTGAGGTCACCTCCACATGGACACTATCTGTGAGTGATGACGTTTTAGTCCTATGAACACAAGTAAAAGTAATCTAATAATTTTAAGTATAGTTAAATGTAACATCCAACAGTCGATAGCTTTGGTAGGCTGACGTTGAAAGGTCCGAGTGTCTGAAAAATAGTTTTATTGAAAAAAAACTTGTTATGAACGAAAATAGTTGCAGGTTCTACATTTTGTACAGACGATAGCACATCAAGATAAAAACTCATATTATCTAGTTACAATAGACACTAAAGTACGAGTAGCTGTGCTTTCGACTGTACATCTTACATTATTTTGTCTATACATGATCATCTTTGCCGATGTACGTAAAATTTGGCCCTTCACTCACTTTGCTACTTCGGAGTAGCAAAGTTATAGGACGTGCAAGGACCGCGTACATATTTAATATGACCAGAATTTGGTTATAAATGTAGATAAATAATACCTTGCTTGACAAAAATAAGTACATTAATGTCACATTTATTTCAGTTAAACCTTCTTTGTAAGGGGAACTGATTGTTGGTCAAATCAATACGTTTATCCATGATTAACCCAAATATGTTAATGATTTGCAAATCTGAATGTAATCTTGCGATAAAATAAGTGTATTTAGTAAATCAGTACCGAATTATCAATGACTGATTCATTGATATTTGACCTGTTGGCCAAATAATATGTACCTCTTGAAAACTGCTAAAACAAATAACTTTATGCATCAAGACGCTATATACAATAATAAATTGAAAAGATGTTATTAAAAAATCTAAAAATTACATCCTATCTACACGTAAGCAAAAAACAGAAACGAATTTTCAGATTGTTTGTGAACTTGAAATAAAACCTGGCAGCTAGTCATTAAGACCATAGATATGCACAATGGCAACAATTTATTAACCTATTATGTACTTTAGGAAGTACTTTATCGCCGCTTTCTATGTACTGTATACAGATATGCAATCTCGAACCTCACGCAGCTCACTGGATGGTCAAGTGATAAATTACTATTCATAATAAATATAGATATAGATATTAGCTAGGTAATGCGTATATTATATGAATATGTATCAGCCCTTTTAAGAAACCGGTCTTACCGCTGCCTCTGACAAGACCAGCTCATAGACAAAGTAACATTCGATATTTAAATTCGAGAATTTAAATTAGAAATGACGAAAGCTTTCGGCGACTCGTTTGACCGAAGCTATCTAATGCCACGTAGATTATAAAATATTTAATAGATTAACTAGCGGAGCGAAATCGTTTCGAGACGTTACTTTGTCTACAGGCGATAGCGATAGATAGACATAGACAATACATAATATTGGTTGTTACATGCAAAGTCGTATTTGCATTTTTTGTTTTAGAATATTTTATCTATTTATTTAAATTGGTACATGCAAAATTCCAAAATGCTGTGAGATGTAATTATATTTTTAGCAAACATAGTAAAATAAATTAATTAGCCTATTTGTTGAATTAGCTAAATGCAGTAAAGGTCACATTACGAGAAATGATAGCCTCTAAATGTGTAGCATTCTACCGATAAGTCAAGATGAGTATCTAATAAATTATGTGTTAGATATGAATACGTCCACGTTACAACAATATACATAAACGTAACTAAATAATATGCCTACCTACATAAAATATAAAGGATTTTCTTACTAAAATATAAATGTTGCTATTTTAACTGTAGGCAAAATATACATTAAAAAACTGAATTAAATAGCGTTGACTCGTTTTATATTTATTTTATAGATTTACTCAAAATATGGCAAATAAATTACGCATATTTAAACATAGCATATTAAAACCCAAATTAATAATGTATCCATAATTGTTTTTAAAGTAAATAATAATCATAATAGATTTATTGTATTCTAAGGTTGAATGTACACTACATGAGAAATTTCCTTCATTTTCTTTTCTGCTTAAATAACTTCAATGGTATTTTCTATAATATTCTGACTTCCAAATAGAGATCCAGATTTGTGACCTCATGATGAAAGAATTTCTATCCATATATAAACATAATATCCTCAGATTAAAAGGGATTTTTCTATAACTACGCTAAATTGGCTGTCCTATATTTTTCATTCACAATTTGTGTAACTCTGCTATGATAGTGTAAATTCGACCTTACGACGCCAAGTACTAAAGAGGCACTAAATAAATGTAAAAGTTGTAAAATAATATTTGTTGAGCTTAATAGAGTATAACAAATACCTGTTTTATTCGTTGTGTAAAAGTATAATATCATATAATGTATCGTAGAACTAAGACTCCAATATACAACAGCGAGTTGTATAATATGATTGTCACGTTTGATCCTTTATTGTCATACATATAATAAGAGTAATGTCGTGTGTCTGGTGTTCGTCAATGTATGTCAAATCATTATATTTAAAAATTCTTCTTCACCAAAATAAGGTCTCGGGAGAGTGACTAAAGAGAGATAATAATGAGAGATTTAATACAAAATTGACATCTTAGCTACTGTTGAAATTTAAGCTGAAAGAGCACATCAGTATAATATTCCTTACATGAATGTTATTTGCATTGATGTGAATAAAGAACACTAGTTGATGATATTCATATTCATTTTATTCACTTCACAATGTACAAATATTAAAGACAGATGTTAAAAAAATGTTACATTGCTACCTCCCAGAGGTATATGTGATTTGTAAATTACAGACTATTAATAGTCCATGTACTATAAATAGTACACGACATTTTATAATAGCAATTGTTTTATTGTGGCAGTGAAAGGATTAAGTTAACATTGGATTAGGTATATTGTAAATTGCCTGTTATTTTGGTGAAGAAGTAGTTACTAATTTTATAAGTTACAAGTTTTGTCGCAAATAAATATAGTGTTTTGTAGTTTAGTGTAATCTATTGTTAATATACAAATGTCATTTTTGATGGATGTGTTGAATTTTCACAATAACATTTTGTAAGCCCTCTTTGGCGATATTTGCTATAAGACATTTTGAATAATCTTTATAATTTTTGCATCACATTGAAGCGTGTTTGTCGTGAGTGTATCATTATGTAATATTTCAGTGCCTTGTGACAAGCTCACGTTACTTCCAATGTATCTATGTGTAAACTTTATAGTCATTTTGCAGCTGTATCCTTCATTATTATTTCATATTAATTCTATTAGTGAATAACTCAACGAAGTATAAGTTGCAATAGAGGACAATTATACGCTTTTCTGCTTATTGATTCTGGTGCTATAATTTGTTTTTATGCGTTTATGTATTCCAAGCAGTGACTGTCCATCTGATATTAACTGAAAGATACATATTTTACAGATTAACTCATCCCAGCTCAGTTGGATATACAGCTTTATAAGTTAAAAAATCGAACAAGTTTTTTCCAAATTATTGTTGTTTACTAAATTATAAGAGCTATGTAAAATATTGTATATAGTTTCATGTATTTATGTATACATTTAGTGTGGCTCTACTGTAATATCCATTGTGGATAGGTCCAATACAATTCAGTTATATTTTGCAGATTAGTGTACGCTTTTATTTTTGTAAATTATCCCCTTTAATTTATGCTAGTTGAGCTTTAATAAATAATATTTTATTACATGTTACTTTAGTGTTTCATTTACTTTAAAGGTCAGGAAAGTTAAAATCACAAAGTCAATAGTAAAAAATTTATTTGTAAATAAAAATATATTGTACCCGATTTAACGTAAAATATAATTCGTTTAGAATCATCTTAAACATATTTACACGTTTGAATATTTACAATTAGTTTCTAACGGCCGTAACTACAATTGTAATAATGCTATGTTGGGATTTGGCCGAGGAATGGTAACAACAAAGTGAGAAAACAAGAGTGCGGATATAACTTCATTGCTGTTTAAAGGTCCATGCACACCACGTTTTTTTCGTGCGTTTGCTGCTAAATTTAGATTGCTGTATAGTTACATTGATTGGGATAACATGACGCACACAGCGCGTTCCATTAGCGCGTAGCGTTGATAACGCGGTGTGCATGGGCTCTAAGAAGACCAGTCAGTGACTCCAAACCATTTAACAGATAGCGGCATATAAAGTAAACACAGTGGCATGCTATGTACTTGTAATACGTGATTTGCAACAAAAATGCAATTTGATTTCGTGATCACGTTTCATTTGTCTACAGGCACTGACTGCATATAAGTCACGTGACACTAAAATTAACGGTAAAACATAAACATACTAATTTTTGTCGAAACGTAGACATGCCATATATTTTTATCATTATTTGGCCATGCACTCCTTCACGTTATAAATAATATTACAGGATATTTTTTTAGGTTAGTAAAAATAAAATGATTACATTACTTAATACGATAATACTTGTTAAAAACTTCTATATTGGCTTAATATTCAATCAAATTGAAATCTTAACACATGCAAACAATAAATTATTTGGACATTGAATCGATAATACAAAAATGTGGGTATTTTTTAACTTTGCAATGGCATAGCGTTAAACCCACATTCATGTTAGGCCTGCTATACACGGACAGCTTGAAGCAGTTAGTGTCGGCAGCTTCAAGCTGCGACTGCATAGCAAACTACGGAAACAGTTGCTCGAGCGGTTCCGTGTATGTGATGTGTGTACGTAGTGTACTGTAGTTTGCTCTGCAGTCGCAGCTTGAAGCTGTCGGATACTAACTGCTTCAAGCTGTCCGTGTATAGCAGGCCTCAATGTTGTATGAACTTGTATGATGTGTAATATTACTTTAGTGTGGGTCAAGTCTACATAAATATTACCTAGTAAATTAGGTCCCCAAAATACAGCAAAATGCTTCATAAGGTAGCATAATGTCATGTCAGTGTTTTATTTACATTATATGAATTTAGTGAAAACCGAATAAAGTATGATTTTTAATTTATTGGACAGCTGTGATATGTTCTAGGTACAAATATCTTTCCAAGGCTTATAAAAACTGTAATCTTAATCAAGAGGTTTTACCGCTATGCCATTGTATTGGAAAACGTACAATGTACATACAAGACTTGTATCACAATTTATTTCCGATAAGTTTTCTTAATTTATTAATACGGTGTTAATTTAACCTAAACACATTAAATTAGGTACATGAGGTTATCACAATCAGATGAATAACTTATTGCACTGTAATATAAAACTTGACTAGTTTTTTGTGATCGGGTGACATCTTTGTATAACTTTTCTTTTATAATACCACAAGTTTTTATACTAAAAGTAAAGTAAAACTAAAACTAAATATTAAACTTTATAAACTATTAGATAAAGATTTAAAAAATGATTTACGTATATTTTTGAGATGCATAAAGAGAGACTTATTAAAATAAATTTTGAGAAAGTAATTTTAAGTCTTAATTTGGATTAAAATCTTTTTGCTTCAACTAAACCTAAACATTAAAATATCACATTTGCATATTTTTTTAATTAACTTATAATACTCTTAGAACGTCATGTGTTTACTGATTCTAATAATGTCACCCTTTTAAGGATTCGAATTTCGAAGTCAAATATGTAATATCATGGTCGTATGCTATCTAGGTATATTGTATCGTCTATAAAAGTGATTAATAAAATCGTTGTAGATATAGATTTATGATTATTACGTTTTGTGATGATGAGAGGCCTGTACGATAAGAGTTTTCCTGAATAAATAAGTAAATAGCATCCGACCATATTCTCAACAATAGTCTCAAACTCACTGATACACAATTCACTATAAAACCGTAACGTCTATTTACATTTATTTATCTAACGGCATGTTGCACCCCTGTTTCCATGTTTTCATCTAAACTAGAATCACAAACAATCCTAAGTGGGGGCCTCCTCGATTTGGTCGAGCACTTTAGAACTTTCCTGAGTCCGGTTTAAGAGAAAATCCAGGTCGTTGGAGATTTTGTTGAGCATTCGGTCGGTTTCGGGCGAGTCGTACGCTTTGTTCCACTCGCGGTTCACTTGTTCGATGTCGGACTTTGGTTTGGGTTCTTCGGGGATTTCTATGGAGGGGAGGGAGGTGGTGGAGGTGTTGCTTTTGGTTTTTTTGAGGCAGCTTTTTATGGGGGGAGAGGGGATCTTGGATATGTCGGGGTTGGATTGGACGCAGATGGCGCAGTTTTCTTTGGGGGGGTNGATCTTGGATATGTCGGGGTTGGAGTGGACGCAGAGGGCGCAGTTTTCTTTGGGGGGGTCGTAGGGTTCGAAGTCTACGGAGCAGGTGAGGAGGGGGGCGGGAGGGTTAGAGGGGGGAGTGGGGAGGACGCCGAGTTCGAGGCAGACGCGCGCCATGTATTCGGGCTGGGAAGGCGCGCGAGGGATTAAGTCGCATACGGCGTGTGTCGTGGTGAGATGGTGGTCGTAGCGCGGGCTGAGTACAGAGTCCTTGTACTCTACGCAACGGACTATGTCCGCGCGGCAGTCTGGGTTCGATTGCCTTCTGGAAGGGAAATCGAATGGTTAGACATTTAATTACTGGCCCTAGTACTTAGGGTCAAGATGACATGACAAAAAAAAAAAAACAATAATATGGATCTCGATATTATTACCAAAATATAAGTCATACGAGCTTGATGTGCGACGAGCTTATTATGTAAGCCCAACGCATCTCGTGGCCGGCGTTTCAGGAATAGCTGAATACTCGTTCGTGCAGGACCTTATTTTACTGCTATAAAAATAATGTTCATCAAGTCAATGGTACTGCAAAAGTAGCTCTTGAAACAGCGATTTTAATGTTAATACGCATTTTCATTCACCAAAGCTGTTAAACCCGCCACCTTCTTAAAGTAAATAAGGAACATGACATGTGTACAGTACATAATTTACCTATGTATCCCCGTCGGGCTCTCGAGCCCTGGGGCGCGCCAGTATGACGTCATGGGGGAGACGGGGGATGACGTGGACTCCAGCATCCCCACTCCCCCTCTGCTTTCCACTTCGCCGCCTTGTTTTATGTACACTGGAAAAGAAAACAAGTTAGTTTTATTATAACAAAACTAGGCCATGAGAATGTCGTGTAGGTATTTCTTTTTTCAAGATTGATTGTGAATTGAATTGAAATCGACCAGTAGGCCTAAGATGCGCGCCGTGATAACTTTTATCGACGTCAAAATGTATGGGCAAAATCGATAAAATGGCGTGATAACCGCTTAACGTGGCGCGCATCTTAGGCCTACTGGATAAGGCACTTATGATATGCTTAACGATGGAAGACCTGCTTTTTTCTATTTTTATTCATAAAGGTTATTGTTATGCACATCACATATTTTGTTTTGTAACCCATCAGCGTTTATGGGATGTGTTAATTTATGTTCTGAACTTCATAAACAATTTTACCATAATTATTGCTACGAAATAGACGTTTTAGAGAGATCAAAAGATGCGAAGATATTAAAGATACAAAAAAAGTAAAAAAGTAAAAAANAAAAGTTCCCACGAGTAGCTAGGGAAGTAATCGGTCACCCTCGGCAGAGCCCCGCATGCCCAGGGAAGAGCTGAATACTGCACCGAATCGCTCTGGTCTCGGGCAGGCACCGTTCAAGACTGAGCTCCCTCTCAGCCACGCGTTCATCGGCACGGTTCGCATCACACCTTGAATTAGGGGGAAATCGTCCATGGTACTTTCCCAAGGTAGCCATGACCACACTTTTTGAGGAGGCTAAGGACCTCAAGGTTTGTGGTATCCCTAGGAGAGGAAGGAAATGCAAAAGCAAAGCAGGATTGGGGTAGGAAAAGGGTGTTAAGGAGCATGGGATGCGTCTGACCATTTCCGTTACGTCTGTTTCATAAGGAACCAGACCAAAAACAGGCGGCAACCACGAGAAGGATAACAGTCAGGCTTGCCTTGAGGATCTACACAACCAGCGCTCTCCCTCAAGGCCAACACCAAAGCAAGCGGCCGGGACAGACCGTGCAATGAGCGAATTGGCAGCGTTACAGCGTTAAACGCATATAAGTAACACACCCTTTCGCTCGCCCCAGGATTATAATAGCCAAATGTATGTATCAAAAAATTTCTCGATTTTACCAAAAAATAATAACAGAGAAAGTAAAGTCAAAAATTGCATTCAAGAATCCAAAATATTTTATTCAATGTTGACCAATATTTTGTATACCTGCACAGGCAGACATTTACATTTAGGTAGGTACTCGTATACACACTTAAGAAGTTACACTGTTTAGAAGCTCACTTAGACACACGAATATCGACAGCCTAACTTTCAAACTGCTTATGTCCCTTTGAGCAAACTTTACAGGAGGAAATAATTGTTTATTTTTCATAGTTATGGTACTAATTGAAGTATAATGATGTACTAACTGGCGACCACGAGCCGGAAGACGTAGCGTGGACAGGCCTCCCACTAGGTGGACCGACGATCTGGTGAAGGTCGCGGGAGGTGCCTGGATGCGAGCGGCGCAGGACCGGTCTTTGTGGAAATCCTTGGGGGAGGCCTTTGTCCGGCAGTGGACGTCTTTCGGCTGAAACGAACGAACGAACCAACGATGTACTAATTGAAATATAATCATTATATATTTCAATAATTTAATTTTGTTTTAGTTTGAATTATGCTGACGAGAATTATTATTATTCTATATATGATTTTTTAAAAATTCTGTTTTGAAACACAAAATAAGCATCGCAATGTTTTTCGATCTGCATAAATTAAAATCGAGTCAACATTCCCGTAGGCAGTTATGTTAGAATTGGCAGCGCTTCGCATCTGTATTCTGAGCGTTCTTTGATATCGGGCAGAAGCGCGGGCGCGCGGCGGGAGGCGCGTTGTCTCGCTCTAATGCTCAAGGTCGTTCGGCCATGTAATCGCCTTAAAGTGAAAATACTTGAACCTGAAAAAATCTATGTTACAACAGCCCCAAAAATATAGACCCTAGAGCTATCTGCATTGCGTTCTATGCCCGCTGATATTTACAATAGGCAGTTAAATTAACTTTGATATCCTAATTTAAACAAACGAAGTTGCTTGCTTTAATGTATTTATGAGTATTTTATTTTCAAAAGCGTCAATTGCCACAACAAACTGCCCATGCGAAAAATGCTTAGTACAAAAAGCGTGCCAAAAAATTCTCTCGGGCAAAGTAATCCAATTGTTTTTGTGAATTTGTCACAGGCAGACAGGATTTTATTTACCAAAACGATTAGGGTATTAAAGGCTTTTTATATTATACATAGGGGTCATAAATATACAAGGTACTTGGTAGGTAGGAAAACGACACATCGATCTAAGCTCTGTGGCATCGCATTTAATAAGCGCTAAGCTAAGCGCAATTTTGCAACCAAAAATAGTCTGATGTAGGTAACTGTACCTGTGTATTCAAAAAGAGCCAAATAGTTTTTTTTTCTTGGCTTTCGCGGTTTGCGTTTAGCCACAACGGTAGCCAAATAGTATCTGCATGGTTGCATGAAACTTACTACTATGTGCTATTTATATTTTATACTTTAAAACAAATATCTGTAAATACCGTATGAAGTGGGTGTAAAATGTGGTAATTACTTCATTTTAAACCCTGTGACCCTTTTTTCGGTTCAAATTAATGTAAAGGCTTTCTCTTCTAAATGAAATAAAGAAACATCAAAACAAAATTTACTTTATTGAAGGTAAGTTCTTCTATGTATTAGATGACGTCCCTTAAGTAACCCTTTTTAGTGAATGACGAGTGCTTGACAATAAAAATAAAGTTCAGAAACATCTTACTGTTTTTGCGCCACCTCCCTTTACATATAGTTTTTATGTCACCTTTTAGGAAATTTACAAAGGCTCAAAAGAACCTTGTCGTGAAACATTAATTCGAATACTTTGTGGTAAAAGAGACATTTTATGCGACCCAGACGAGCGCTAAGGTCTCAGGAACGCACCCTTTAGCATAGTAACGGACACGTATGTATTACAAAATAGGCTCGACAAAACTAATGTAGATTCGCGAAGTTTCTGGGCTTTTTGTGCTTTTACGATAGTTTCTTCATAAAAAAGTTTCCTCAGTCCGTAACGATTTTCCAATATTTATAAATAAAGAAATACTTATTGAACGAAATTTATATTAGTCTGTGATTTTAAGTATAACATATACATTTTTTTTATTATCTTGTTGACCATAATACAATCAATATTATAATAGCTTTCTGTTGTTTTAGTAATTGTAGGTAAATAAGTATAATTTTCTCTTTCCAGACATAAGACTATAAACATACGATCAATCCTATTTAATGTTCAGTATCTTTTCTCCTTAAAATACATGAATTATTAATAAATTCACGTCGTCTATTAATATTCACAAAAGATAAACTAAACCAGACATGAAAGGGAAACATACAAAAGGACAATGAAAAAGAATCCAACGTAGGCTTAGTTTGAAATGTTTACAGTGCTTTGATAAATCGATCGGGGTCTTCCAGTCGCTTCGCGTGCCGTTGGATATAAGCCCGACATAACAAAAATATCCTCGACATCAGCTACATAGTACTTTCCTTATCTTTTGATTCAAAGCTTGACATGAGAGGCGTTTTGAACATGTTCACTGGAGCTTTTAGCCCAGATTCCACCGAGCGCTATTCATGGGGCTACATTACGTATTTTAAAACATACCAACTAAATTGGGAACCTCCTCCTTTTCTTGAAGTCGGTTAAAAAACATTTCATTAGCGAGCAATACATTTTTTCGATATGAAAGAAAACTTGAATAGGCGCTTTTCCTCAAAAGCTCGAGCGTTTGTTTACTTACCTACCTAATAAACATTTACTTACATGTGTAATTATGTTCAATCCAAATAAAATGATACCAGGGGTACCTACTTATTTGTATCAAAGATACTTATGTAAGTACATACTACCCTAGTAAAAACACCTGAAAACCATTGACTAAAGGATAATGCTTGGGCCGTGAAATCACGGCGAACGGATCATACCGTGAATCGATATCCCCGTAAATTCTAATATTCTATTATGTAATAGTTACGGAGGTCATTAATTAATTGGGCAAGGGTTATTTTGGTCCAATATTGTCGTAAACAAAGTGAGTTGTAGTCAGCTTTTACGGGTAAGCAGTTAATACGACGAGAAACCAATTTTCTCAGCCAGTCCTGAGATTTCGTCTGCGAGACTCGGAAATTAAACGAATGTTGTGGGTAGCCACCCTTCACGCTGTGGACTGGAGCCACACTGATTAACTTTGTCTATATGGATACCAACACCGCTTCTTCGATATTGGTGGTAAATTTTTGATTCTTTTGATTGTTCCTAAAATGATCCCCAAATATAGAGCTCACGTAGGCTCGTGTTGTAAAGCGATACTCAACGTCAAATATACTCGTAGAGTTTAATTGATTTTGAATCGCCAATTGGGAATAGAATTTGCCTGATTTCAGAAAGTGGTCGTTGTTATTCGAACCAATCGTTTGTTGTTTCTATGCGTCTGTTTAATTAAGCATTTGTAACCTTAACTCGGTAGGCGTCGACGTAGGATGTAGTGGTTAATTAATTTGCCTCTCCCGATTATCAAAGGCTGTCACCTAGTAGTGATATCTTCAATAGATATAAATAAGATGTTGATGTTACTTCGGGAAGCAGGATTGTAGATGATTCCATTACCATCATAATTAAATAAATCTTTGTGATCAAATGCCGTGGTCGTTAGATTGGATTCATTTAAAAAAAAAATCTTTTGAATTTTCGTTACGAATATAGGAATAAAATTATCGCCGACATCCCATTCTTGTGAAGTTTAGTGAAGAAGTGCAGGCAGTGTATTATGTTATATTCAAGTATGTACTCGTACAAACAAAGTCTTACGCGAAAAGAAAAGAAAAACACTTATTCGAGCTTTTTAAAAGTCGTTGAGGAAAAATGCAATCTTGAATAGGTAATTAAGACATTTCCGTTTGAGTGACCCTTTAAAAAATGCTAGAAAAACACCGAAATGAAAATGAGCCCTGTGTGCATG